ATCTGATACCCAGCATTGGGGGAGGGGGTACTATTTACTTGGTTGTTAAATCAATATTTGGTAGCAATTTTACAATGCTTATATCAGAAAAAGAAGATTTAACTTAATCATCTAAATTTCTAATTTAGGAGGCTAGGAAAAGAAAGGTACTCTAATTTCAGAGTAAGAAAAAGAAAGGCATGCTTATTTTAGAAAAATCAATGGAATAGACAGAAGATAAATGGATAAAAACAAAATCAAAAGCTGAATCTTAAAAACATTAACAAATGAATAAAAACCTGTTGCAGTTTGAATGTGAGGTGTCACCCAAAAGCTCACCGGTGAGACAATTCAAGAAGGCTCAGAGAAGAAATGATTGGGTTATAAGAGTCTAACCCAACGTGATAGGGATTGCCTGAGTGGTAACTGAAGTGGTAGGGTGTGGCTGGAGGAGGCAGGAATTGGGGCATGGCTTTGGGTATATATTTGTATCTGGCACCTGGAAATCTCTCTCCGCAGCCTTATCACCACACTCTTGCGCCATAATGTTCAGCCTCGCTGTGAGCAGGAGGAATGGAGCCTACTCTCTATGGATGGAGACCTCTGAAACCCGTGAGCCCCTAAACTTTTCCTCCTTTACAGCTGTTCTGGTTGGGTCCTTTTGGTCACAGGAGGGAAAAGTCTGCCTAAAACAAAACCCTCGCCAGGTAACAGGGAATTTCACTACAAATTTTATAGACATTAAAAGGAAAAAGGAAGGTGGACGCTGTGGCGCACATCTGTAATCCGAGTGGCTCAGGAGGCTGAGGCAGGAGGATCAGGAGTTCAAAGCCAGTCTCAGAAACTTAGAAAGGCCCTAAGCAACTCAGTGAGACCCTGTCTCTAAATAAAATACAAAATAGGGGTAGAGATGTGGCTCAGTGGTTGAGAGCCCCTGGGTTTAAACCCAGTACCTAAAAAAATAACTATATCCCAAAAAGTAATTACTAAGAAAAAACACAAAATCCTTGAAAACTACATAGTAGTACACTACCAATACAGACCCACAGGCATTTGAAATAAAGGAAGTATTATGAAAAATTTCATGCCAATAAATTTGAAAATTAAGATGGAATGTACAAAACCCTAAAAAGTACAACTTTCTGAATCTGACATTGAGATGAAATAGAAAACTTAAATAGCCTGTTTATATGAATGAACTGACTTTATAAAAAACCATCCCCACCCTCCAAAAAAAGAAAACAACAGACCTATGTAGTTACAAAGTACATTCCATTCATTCTTCACTTAAGGAAGAAAGAATATTAACTCTACACAAAAGTTTAAAACAACCAAGCATACTAGTCTTGAAGTGTCTTAATAACAAAGCTTCAACTGCATAATGTAAAACACAATAGAACAAATGGAAAAAAATAAGGAAATCTACCATCACTAGTGGAGATTGAATACCCAGGTCTCTGTGTAAGTGATGGGTCAAAAAAAAAAACAAAAAAAAAAACCAACCACCAGGATACAGAAGATATGAACACTATTAACTATCTTTACCAAATTAACACTTACAAAACACTACACTCTCAAACCAAATACTACACATTTTCCCTGGTCCCCATGAGGACCTGCAATTCTGGCAGCTCAGGAAGCTGAGAAAAGAGGATTTTAAGTTTGAGCCAATCTCAGCAACTTAGTGAGACTGTCTAAAAACAAAAAATAAAAAGGGCTGGGGATATAACCCCATGGTAGAACAACCATGGGTACAAACTTCTATAAAATCCAGAAAAATATAGACTGAAATCCTTCATGATCATAAATACAAAACCCTTAACAAATGTTATTCAAAGACAGAAAAATCTAAAAAAGCTAATTAACAATCTATGAATTAAAGGTTGGCATAATATTTGAAAATTTTTTAAAAAATCAATGTTTATAATACTAGGACAACAGGGGAAAAATCAATGATCACCTTAAACAGATTCAGAAAAAAACTCATGACAAAAACACTGAATTTAAAAATAGGTAAAATATCCAAACTGATATTTCACTAAAGAAGTTACACAAAATGGTCAATAAGGCATGAAAATATACTCAGCATCATTAAGCACTATAGAAATGTAAGCTAAAGCCACAATGAGCTATAATTATATATCAACCAGAAGGGCTAAAATTTCAACAATTTGGCAGTTTCTTAATAGAATCAAACACATACTTACCACATAACTCAGTATTTAAAGAAGGAAAAATCTATATCCACATAAAGACATGTTTTAGACACAGTATTCTCAGGAGCTTTATTCATAATTGCCCAAAATGAAACAACCCGAATATCCACCAAGAAAGGACAACATAAACAAGAGTATACACATACAATGGAATACTACTTGGCAATAAAAAGTCAAACTACTTACACATGCAACAACCTAGGTGTAGTCAAAGACTTATACTGAGCAAGAGAAGCCAAAGAATACAAATTGTATGATGTCATGGATGCAAAACCTTAGGAACAAATTTAATCTACAATGTTACAGACATCAGTGGTTGGAATCTGAAGTATAATTTAGGGACTAGATGGGGAGAAGTACAAAGGAACCTTTTGGGGTGAGTATTTCTAGTATCTTGATTATGGCATTGGATACATGGGTTTAGCCTTTTGTCAAAACTCACTGCGTAAGATTATGACTGCCTAGACCACTGTCTTCCAATATTTCTCCTAAAACAGATAATAACCTCAGTACAACCTGAATATAAAGAATATACAAACTTCAAAACTATAAAGGAAAGAGAAAAATAGTAAATTTCAGTGCACATCTCTCATCCTATGGTGCCTGACCCAGAGCCTAATTGCCTCAAGGATCAAAGCAAGCAAAAGCAGTCTGAAAAAGACTGAAGAGATGGAAGAACTTGTAGTGGGCAAAAGTAAACTATGGGAAAGAAGACTAAGTGTATTCCAAGTCAAAAAATATTAAAATTTAATTTGGCAAATTTTTAAAAGTGTAGCTTCCTGCTAGGTGTAGTGGGATCATGCCAATTTTCCCAGCAACTCCAGAGGCTGAGACAGGAGCATCTCAAGTTTCAGGCCAGCCTCAGCAATTTAGCAAGGCCCTCAGCAACTTAGTGAGACCTTGTCTCAAAATAAAAAATAAAAAGGGCTGAAAATGTGGCTCAGTGATAACGCACCCCAGGTTAAATACCCAGAACCAAGGGGAAAAAAAATACAAAGTATAGCTTCTTGGGGAGAGCGAGCAGTACTTTTTGGAAAAAGAGTCAAAAGGACAAAATTGAGAACTCCATGGGACAGAAAAGAACAAATCACAATTAGGAAAAAAATTGCATGTGTACTGAATTATGTACATACTTTTTGATCTTGTCATTATTCTCTAAATACAGTGTAACAACTATTTACATAGAATTTACACTGTACTAGGTACTATACCTACATGGAAGAGTGTGGCATGGTAGTGGCACATCTGTATTTTCAGCTACTTAAGAGGCTGAGACAGGGGATGGGATTGTAGCTCAATGGCAGAGCGCTTGCCTAGCATGTGTGAGGTACTGGGTTCGATCCTCAGCATCACATAATGAATAAAGTTGCCGCCTTTAATCCCAGCGGCTCGGGAGGCTGAGACAGAAGGATGGCAAGTTCAAAGCCAGCCTCAGTAACAGCGAGGCACTAAGCAACTCAGCAAGACCCTGTCTCTATATAAAATACAAAATAGGGCTGGGGATGTGGGGATGGTCAAGTGCCACTGAGTTCAATCACTGGTACCAATAAATAGATAAATAAATAAACAGTAAGGATAAAGTTATTGTGTCCATTTACAACTAAAATAAATATTTAAAAAGAAAAAAAAAAAAGAGGCTGAAACAGGATAATCTCAAATTCAGGCCAGTCTGCATAGCGAAGCCCTGTCTCAAAATAAAAAAAGGGCTGGAAATGGTAGAATGCTTGCGTAGTATGTATGAGACCCTGGGTTTAATCCTCAGTACTATAAAAAAATTAAAAATTAAAAAATAAATATTTGGGAGGCTATGCTCAGATTATATACAAATACTATACTCTTTTACATAAGGGACTTGGAACATTTGTGGATTTTAGTGTTTGAGTGGAGTCCTAGAATCAGCCCCCAAATATATCATCTTTTTTTGTATAAACACATACCTACTGTAAGGTTTAATTTATAAATTATGCACAGTAAAAGATTAACAATAAAAATAGAACAGTGACAATAATATACTGTAATAAAGGTTATGTGAACGTGGTTTCTCTCAAAATATCTTATCATTCTGTGCTCAGCCTTCTTCTGATGATGATATTATGATGATACAATACCTACTTGATGAGATGAAGGGGGATGAATGACACAGGTATTGTGATACTGTGTTAGACTACCACATAAGCACTGTAAATTAATCCTATAACCTAGATACTACTGAATGACTAGCCAAATGGTTAGCATATCCAGAATGCATATGCTGGACAAAGAGATGATTTACTTCCTGGGCATGGAAGTCTTGAGATTTCATCACACTATTCAAAATAGCACATAAATTTAAAACTTAAGATTTATTTCTAGAATTTTCCATTTAATATTTTCAGACCACTTTGACATCTGATCACTGAACACACAGAAAGCAAAACTAAAGATAAAGGGACATTAGTATAATAATAAAATATTCCATATATTTGAAGTTCAAGAATACACAGAAGTGATCAATGGTGATGGACATAAGAACAGTACCTGCCAGAGGCAGGAGATGTGGGTAATTGATTTGAAAAGTGCATAAAGGCCATGGGTATATTCAGTATTTTCATCTGGATTATGTTTTTCAAAATTCATTAAGCAAAATACTTAAAATTGATAGACCTTACTGCTTATAAATAATACTTAAAAGAGTATTGTTAGATTATTTTAAAGGCATCAATATATCTGTTTTATTTAGGAATTAGTCTTTGTCACCTGTTTTTTTTTTCCTTAAATATTACATCCTTAAACTAGACCAAGTTTTTAACTACTTATTTTCTTTACCTGAAGCATGTAGTTCCATTCTCTTTTACTTTATTTTTCTGAAGAGTAGATGTTTGAAGCGACAGAATTTTATTTCCAGGCAAAGTAATTTGCTTTAGAATGGAAGCTATAAAAACAAACAAGAAAGGAAAAAGCAGAATATCAAAAAAGCAATTATGCCACATTAGGAAAAATTCAGAGCTTCAGTTTTAAAAATATATATATATACACTAATCAAAAAAAAAAAATTCAAGCTTCCCCAGAACTTTGTCTAAATTCAAATAGGACAATGAATATATTCCCTACATTTAAAAAAATCATCTTGTAAAATAAAGATCCCTCCATTTCTCTTTATATGGTCTCAAGTTGCCTATAGCATCACTACAAAAAAACATCATGTACAAAAGGTAATGGAAACATACGTTAATAATATATCCTTTATATTAATATATATTTAAAACACTTAAAAGATCTACCTTACCTGATTTCCAAACTACATTTTAAAAAAGGTTATAGCAAGTTTTATAAGTTTAAAAAATACTTATTTAGATTTTTTTATCTAATTATGGAATACCATAAGTAGTTGCTTCATTTACTCTAAAACAACCTACACCCCTAAAAACTGTCTATATATGTTCAAAGACTATAATAGTTATCATTCAGTATTTTCTTAGGTACCAACTTTAAAAATCCAACTTTATTTTGCTTTTTAATTTTTTTTTTTTGGTTATCAATGGGTCTTTATTTTATTTATTTACTTATATGCAGTGCTGAGAATCGAAACCACTGCCTCATACATGCTAGGCAAGTGCTCTACCACTGAGCTACAAACCCAGCCCCCCAAATCTCTCTTAATACAACAAATAAGTTGTGCAAAACCCACCACATTCCACAAACAGTGTGATGAGGCAAGCCAGACCAGTGTCTACCTGGAAGAAACTTACTAGCAGGTATTACAGTATTCACTGGCATCTTATTCTGTCCAGATTTCTGAATGGTCAATGCTGGGGAATGGGAAATTGTGGTCACTTGTTTTGCAATGCCTCCTGAAGGCTGCTGGACAACCTGAAATAATTAGAACTATCAGTACAGTCATTCAACTAAACATGCTATAAAAAGAAAGGACAAAATTTCACTTTTAATAATTGCCTGAGCTCACCCGGCTATAAATATATTTAAAATTTAAATTTGTATGTAGTAAAATGATCTTGTTCAAAAGTGAAAGACATGACTATCTCACACACTATACTATTATACTAGAATTCAAATTTATAAAATCCCCACAGGGTTCCTATTTTTACTTTTTAACTTATGAAAAATTTCAAACATATACAAAAATACAGATTATCCAGATTAAATAATGACTCATTCTTGAACAATCTTGTTTCTTCTTTACCTGGTCCATTTTTCTATCTCCCACAATTGTTTATTATTTTAAAGCAAATCCCAGATATAACTTTTATCCATAAATATTTCAAAATACACCTCTAAAAAGTTAAGGACTTTTTATGTGCTGTTTTTCAAAAGTATCTTCCTAAACCATTTGGAAAAATGATAATGCTAAAGGCATTCTCCAAGATAAAAATTCAAGAAATTCAAAGAGGGTTGGGGGGCAAAGAGAGAAAAACAAACAAAATAATAACAGTGCTATTACTTTTGGCTTCAAAGAAAAAGAAAAGCCAGAACAGCAGAGGGTCATTTATTCACTTCAAGGAACAATTATCATATATTTGGGCCAAGAACTGAACTATTTAGATGTACTTAAACTCCCATATGGGTAATATAAATGAGCAATGGTCTGGGCAGGATATAGACTTCTGAGTAGAATCTTGGGAGTACAATTCATTTCACTTTCTAATATTTGTGAACAAAATTAAAAGGCAAGTGTATATTACTAAAAAACAGTGAAAAAATAATGTTCTGTAAAGTAATCCTACTGGAACTAATGTTCCTAGAGAAAAAAAATACAAGCTGAAGTAAATCAATTGCTATCATTCTTTGGTAACAGAAAAGAACTGGAAAAATAATGCTTTTCAATGAAGTTGAGATCAAACTTTTATAAAGTCCTAGGGATCAGATTTAAAGTATACAAAGTAATATATATCTGGAATCTCATTTATGCAGTCAATTTCATTTTTATAAGTCAATTTCACTTTATAAGTTTCTTCTTTTCAGTATTTGAATTATGAGAGATAGTAATAAGATATTATTAGTAAGCTGTTTACCAGTTAGTCTTCCTACCATTTTTGATGAGTACATGAAAATTACATAAAGTTTTGAGGTGGGATTTAAAAACCCTAGGCGTGGTGTGGTGATGCACATCTGTAATCCCAGTGGCTCAAGATGCTGAGGTAGGAGGATTGCAAGTTCAAAGCCAGCCTCAGCAAAGAAGTAAGACCCTGTCTCAAAATAAAAAAATAAAAAGGGCTGGGAATGTGACTCAGTGGTTAAGCACCCTTGTGTTCAATTCCTGATACCAAACAAACAGCAACAACCTAGGTCCCCATCAGTCCTCATCTTAACGATGCTAACCTAAGGCAGCACATGTAACTAATCTAAAAATCTAACAACAACAACAAAAAAAAAGGGACAACGTGCACTCTTGCACACCTGCCAAGCAAAATAAAACATAATGAGCAATAATGTATAAGAGATTTCACTGGTCTTCTTTCAAAGAAAGTATCTAAAACCACTTTATTAGGCATCTTATGGAGAATGAAATCATTTTAGAGAAATGGAAATTGGCCCAAAGAAGACATATTTATTCTTATTTGGCAAGGAAAAGAAAAGCTATTGTGCTCTTTAAAAACTAAGACCCTAATTTACTTTCCCTTCAAAACAAACTCTGGCCGGGTGCAGTGGTGCATACCTGTAATTACTTAGCAGCTCAGAAGGCTGAGGCAGGGGGATTGCAAGTTCAAAGCCAGCCTCAGCAACTTACAGTGAAGCCTTTTCTCAAAATACAAAACAAAAAATGGTCTGGGGATATGGCTCTGGGGGTTAAGCATCCCTGGGTTAAATCCCAGGTAAAAAACAAAACAAAACTCTGGAATCAAGGAAAGAAAGGGAAAGAGTACATACCTTAGCTTTCTTTACACCTCAAGTTCTGATGTTTTATTGGGGATGTTAACATAAACTAATGTTCAAGCAGTTTATAGAAATTACAGGTCTAGAAATGCCAAGCAATATTCTTTGTTTCTTTCACATTAACTACAATCTGATATATGTGAAAAGGAAATATTTTAAATAATACCTTGATACCATTAATATGAAGTTCTAGGAAAAGCAAAACTAATCCATGGAGGAAATTATCAAAACAGTTGCTGCTTCTGGAAGATGGCAATGGGGTCTGAATGGGAAAGGGTAATAAGATGATGGCAATAATCTATATTTTGATGAATGGAGAAGGGGCATGAGAGAACAAGTCTACATTTTGACAACTCAGATGAGGCAGGAGAGAGCTCAGAGATTATAACAACAACAGTCTATATTTTGATGAGAGGTCTGAATTACACAGCAGTATGAACTGACTGTCAAAAAAAACTTTCATGTGGTACAAATGAAATCTGTACTTGTCATTGTAAATAGATATACCTCAAAAGAAAAAAAATATAAACAAATATTTAACTGTGATATCTATATTTAATAATTTAGGAAAAAATCTTTGAAATCCATCAAAAAATTAAGATAGACAGCTGGAGGGCTGGGGATGTGGCTCAAGTGGTAGTGCGCTCACCTAGCATGCATGAGGCACTGGGTTCGATTCTCTGTACCACATAAAAACAAACAAACAAACAAAAAAAGATATTGTGTCTACCTAAAACTAAAAAATAATTTTTTTTTAAAAAGACATCTGGATAAATACACGATAAATCAAGTTTAACAGCTATAAATGCTAGAATCTAGGTGGGTGGTTGTATGATATTTACTATAAATCTCAATTTCTCTACATATGAAAATTCTTATAAAAATTTTTATTGACTAATATAAAGACATGGACACTATAATGTCTCCAGTTTTATTTTCCACAAATTCTAATATATTCTTATAAAACAAACTATCTCTTAAGTAAATTTGAATGAACTAGCATCAAACAACCTATATATCAAGAATATTATGATAAAAATTGTAATTCAGTTATAGCCCATGAGGAATTTACTGTGCAACTGCTATTTATATATGGTAAATAAATGGTAGGCCTTACTTGGATTCAACCTCTTTCTTCATTAGTCCTATTCAAGTAAAAGTAAAATCAAAAACTAATTCCACCTTTCCACTCTCATAAATAGAATGCAAAAAAGGAAGAAAAAAAGACAAACTACTTAGGATCCAAGAAGGTCAGTTCAATAACTGAGGGTCAACTACTTGAGCCAATGAAAAATTTTACCAATTTTTTTCTAACTCAATTTTTACTTATTTTCTCTTTTCTAAAGAAAATATTGGCAACCACCATGATAACAAACTAAAATTTACACCTTGAAAATATTTTTCCTATCCTGTGAGAACTGTGACATCAGAGGCAATTAGCACACTTAACTCTCACTAATTATTTCACATAGCATGTGTTTGTTGTAAAATTCTTTAAGAATTTCTCCTACCTCAAAATAATTAGGTGCAAGTAAAAATACAACAACAATTTTTCTTTTTTAGTATTTAGGGTATATTTATTTTAGGAGTTCAGTTTTACTTTAATACAGTGAAATTGAAAGTTATCACACTTATACTGCACAAATAACTCATTCATTTTTCTCTTATATCCACAAAATAGTAATATTTGGAGAGTGGACACTTATTAAATATTTGTGATACTGTTAAAGAAGAAATACAATAGAGGGGAAATACACATTTAAAATAAGAAAACAAATAATAATAAAAATTTCCTACCTTATCTCCAAGTATAAATTATTTTTAAAGATACTTAAGTGATAATATTATATTATGTGCATGTGCAAGCATATACAATGGATCCCACTATTATGTATGATTATAATGCACAAATAAAAGTATATTTTAAAAAGGAAAAAACACTTGAAAGCAAAAAATAAAAAAGAGACTTAAGGATAAATAAATGCAAGACTACTATAACAATATTCAGCTTACTCTCCAAAATTATCCACCTTTCTGGCAAAAATAGAGGTCAGGGATTTTGAATTAACTTTCCTCATTCATGAATTTTATTTGCATATATTGTGAATCTGAGGGTTTTTTATTTTATTCAGTTAAATCAGTTAAAATGTTTATCAAAATTTATATTTTAAAATGAACAGACTGAAATTAAAATTTAGCTTTTCTAAATTAAATTAGCTTTGCTAACTAAAATGAAATTTAATTTAGCTTTTGCTCAAACAAGTAAAACACTTTTTTTTTTCCACAAATATCTAAGGGAAGATTTTTCAGCAAAGTCTTCTGAAAGTTTCTTCTTAATTATCTTACCTAGCTTTAGTAACCCATAATCCAACTCATCCACTCTCCACCTTGAAACAAAAACTAGAAGTAAAATGTTAAGTTCAATATTTAGTTTGAGTATATAATATAATAGCTACTATGCCAACACTGATAGGCAGCCAATAACATAAGTCATTTATAGGAACTGAATTCTTAGGTAAAATCCCCAGAACTACTTATTAGGGCCATATTTCAACATTTCAAGTATCTGAGTATAAACTGAAAAACAGCTAAAAGAAATTGAACAATTTCAGTTAATTTACATGAAAGCTTTGGCAGAACCCCCAAGTATAATATATAATAATCAATGAGACAGAAAGGATAGCATGCAGTGAAAACTCCATTTTTGTAAAAGCAGTTAATAGATAGAAATGTATACTTTGATAAAATGTTAATAATGTAAAATCTAATCCCTACAATGGTAGCTTGAGAATATTTTTCTTATAACTTGAAAGCATAATATTTAGATACCTTACCTAAGAGGCAGGCCATACAATTCTCCAGAAGAACTACTACAATTGAGAAGTAAATATTGTGGAAAACGTTTTAAATTCACAAATAATTAAAGAAATAAATTACCAAAATTTTAAACTTGACATTTTTAGACAGTCATCCAAGCCAGGTGTGGTGGAACATACCTGGAATATCTGCTGAGGCAGAAAGATTTCAAGTTCAAAGCCAGCCTCAGCAACATAGTGAGACCCTATCTCAAAAAATAAAGGGCTGGGGATGTGGCCCAGTAGTTAAGAACCCCTGGGTTCAATCCGTAGTAAAAAAAAAAAAAAAAAGGACAGCCAAATGCATATTCTTTACACCATACTGAGTTACATGGATCCTATGGTCTGGTGTGGTCTCTCATACTTTGAATGATTATTTGCATATTTCTTATAAGGTATATAAAATGCTTTAGTCTTTTCTAGCATCTTCAGTATTTTAAGCCTCACTTCGGAGTAAAATTAAATTGATACTTTCATTAAAATATTATTTTTCTAAATCAGTTGACTTGAAAGAGTACCCTAGTTCTGTCCTCTCTATACATTACCATACAAAATGCTTTTTGTTCTTTTAGCCCAAGTAAATCTGTTATTCAATAAATTAACAAGGCATCTTCAGTGACCTGCCACTGTGGATTTTGCCATTTTAAATAGGTAGATACGAACAGGCATATCAAATCAAAATTAAAACAAAGGCCAAAAAAAGAAAGCAAAATTCACATTTTATATTTAATATTATTGTGGAATATTAAATTTTTCACAACCTTTTAGGAATAAAAGTATGAATTAAAATCCCCCTAAAATTTACCATCAGATTTTGTTACATTTTTTTGTAATTTAAATTATTTCTAATGTATAACAAGTTAAACCCAAAAAATGTAAATGCTGTCAAGATATTATTATATTACCAGATAGTTTTCTGCTTCGAGACATTCCAGAAACCTAGAAGGTCCTGCTGGAAGCATCATAACCAAACCCTAATGGCAAAGTCACAGGATTCTAGACTGAAAACCACTACTTGCTGACTAATACTGGATAGGTCACTTAGAATTTCTGGATCTTTAGTTTTCTCCAAGCCTTTTCCTCATAAGAATTTAAAAATCCATTCCACAGAAGCAATATGCTCTTAGAAGTCTATGTAGCTAACAAAGTATTATTTCACCTTAGGGACCTATGTGCTACAAGATTGTCAATAATGATTAGTTAGCATTGGTTCAATCATCAGTTATGACCCATAAAAAGGATTTCAATTCTATTCAGTTCTTCCCCAAAGAAGCCTTTCCTTGGGGCAATTCCTCTGTTGCAGTGGTCCTCAAACCTGGCTTATCAGAACAATGTTTAATTTTTTAATCACTGCTTCTAAAAAGTTTGTTTTGGAAGAAGAAACAAGAACAACTCCCAGACCAACCAAAGCTACCCCCAACCACCAACCAAAGCCACACACTACGGCATCCCCTCATCCAGTGCCTGTGTCCAGCTGTCATCCCCACCCATGCCCAAGAGAAAGGCTGCCGGGGATGCTAACAAAGTCAAATTGAAGAATGAACCAGAGAATATCCGCAAGCTCCTGCTCCTCCAGAGCCAGAGCTCAAGCCTAAAAAGGCCCGGCAAAGAAGGGAGAGAAGGTATCCAAGTGAAAACATGATGCTGGCCAGGATGGCAATAACTGCAGAAGATGGAGATACCTTAAAACAGACAAGCACAGAAAGCTGACGGTGCTAGAGATACGGAGTGAAGGGTGCACATTTTTGATGATGATGTACTTCTAGTGACTGAACAGTTTAAAATACTATTTTTTTTACCAAGTTTCATAAAAATGCAGAACTTTGTTTTGCCCTTTTTTTTAAACTATATTGTTAGCACACGATATGTTAGAATCTAGATGTAAGGTGTCCCCTAAAGCTCGAGTGTGAGACAATGCAAGAGGGTTTAGAGGTGAAAAGATTGGGTTATGAGGGCCTTAAATCAGTGCATTAATCCACTGACAGGAATTAACTGAGTGGTAACTGTAGGCAGGTAGGGTGTGGCTAGAGGGCACAGGTCACTGGGGTATGCCTTTGGGGTACGTTTTGTGTATGGTGAGGAGAGCTCTCTGTTTCTTGGTGGCCGTGTCCTGAGCTGCTTTCCTCCATCACACTCTTTTGCCATGATGTTCTGCCTCACTTCAGGCCCCAAGAATGGAGTTGGCCATCGATGGATTGAGACCTCTGAAAACATGAGCCCCAAAATAAACTTTTCCTCCTCTTCAGTATTCTTGTCAGGTCTTTTGGTTGTAGCAGTGAAAAATAAGCTGATTAAAACAGAACATTTCATTGTTTTGGGGGAAGTAACATAGGTCACTAATAGAATGTCTCCAAAATTGAATTGCTGTAGGGAAAACACCTTACCCTACTAGTTTTGAGAGATTTCCTCTTGGCTCCCAGGAGGAGGGATTCCCTAACACTGGCACATACAGTCACCTTGACACAAATGCCTTGTGGTGTGGAAAAACTCAAATTCATCTTTATGTTCTCCTCTCCCTCTCTATCAGTGTGGATTTACTCCCCTGAACCCAGAGACATGTAGGGACCTGACTCCCCAAAATTGGTTTTACCCATATGTCAAGCAATCTGAACTGTCCAGTGACATCACTGAGATAGTGCCCCTCAAAAGAGCATTAGTTCCTTTTCTAGATTAATGATATTCAGATTGATAATTCTGCCTTTTTCATTTCATTTCCTGAAAATCAGGGTTAAATATGAAATGCCAATCCTCACTCTAAATTTTCCCTATTCAGAACATCAGTTGATGACTTCATTGGGTTTTATGGTGCTTTCTGATTTTGGTAGTCCACCCAAGAAAGGAGTTTGAAAGTTGCTGTAGACTTTTAACAATTGCTTACCCATGTCCTACCTGAAATATCTCATGTTTATGAAAAGAATCTTTAATAAAGCTGGATATATGGGGCTTGGAAAAAAATGTAAAATGTTGCTCTATCTCTGAGATTAAGTTGAGGCAAACAGAGAAATCTTGCACTGCAGGTGTATTTGAAAATCAGACCCAGAATAGGAAGGGCTAAAAAAAGATTCACGCATAGGAAATTACTATTACTTCCCAGCTATCCAAGAGTTAAGACTACCCTCCAATTCTGGGTACCTTATCTTCCCCCTTTTTTGTGTGTGTGGGGGAATGTTAGTTACCAGAGATTGAACTCAGGGGCACTTAACAACTAAGCCATATCCCTAGCCCTTTTTCGTATTTTATTAGAGACAGGGTCTCACTGAGTTGCTTAGCGCCTCACCATTGCTGAGGCTGGCTTTGAACTCTCAGTTCTCCTACCTCAACCTCTGAAGCTGCTGGGATTATAGGCATGAGCCACCGAGCCTGGCTTATCTTCTCCTTTGATTCTATGTCCAAAGCAGCCCTCTACCTTAGAAGACAATAATCCACAGATGTTAGCCTCTAATTCTGATCTGCAAACAAGGGTGGTGAGTATACACATAGTTTACACTCCAAAGAACAATGAACTAAAAATTTCAAAACACAACCTCTAACACAAAGGCTTTACAAAAAAGAACATGGGCAATCACCAAAAATCAAAAGAAAGCAAACTCTGTTATGGTATAAAGAAGGGAAGAACTTTACAAGAAAAACCATGCACTCTCTCCCATAAGCTAACAATACTCACAGTCTTCTCACAAAATCTGTCTTCTCCTGAATAAAGCAGAACATTCTAGATATCAACTAATCAATAAACTGCTAAAATTTCCTTCTCTCACCTAAGAATCCCCCAAATGATCAAATTTAGGAAAAAATGCAACTTATTTATCCGTTCACCTGTCTTCATCAGCATTTTTTTGAAAAAAAAAAAAGAAATGTTATCATACTATCACCTATTTAAAGTCCTAACTATTGGGCAATACAAAACACAGGGACAGTATAAAACAACTAGCCCAGGCACTTAAAATATTATAACATAATGAACAACCACAAAAAACTGGAGCATTGTTCTAGATTAAAAAAGTGATAACTAAATGTAATAAGAAATTCTTCACTAGAAGCAAGAACAGGAAACATTATTGGGACAAGTAGGAAAAACTGTAAAACTGTACCAATATTAATGTCTCACGTATGATGATATGAATTGCTAATGTTTAAAAACAATTTTTTTTGTTAAGAGACACAGTATTTTGGGGAATGCACTGTCACAACTTCTGCAGCCAATTCTCAAAAATGATTTATGGAAAAAAAAAATGTGTTTTTGTGCATGTGACTACAGACAGGGAGATGAAGCAAATGAGATAAAAAATTAACTGTCAAATTTGGTAGGATATATAGTCTTGCCAGTTTTTTACTAGTCTTGCCAATTTTCTGAATGTCTGAAACTTTCCAAATAAGTAACTGAGGAAAAATAAAATTTTACTCACTAGTTGCTTGACTTTAACCGACTGTGGAATAACAGCTGGCTGTGAAAGAAGGGGGCCCGGCTGGGCAAGTTTGATTTGGACTGGAGTGCCAATGACAGGTTTGTCAAGTGTGGTCCCAGCAGAAGAAATGACAGGTTTCACAGATGGAATACAAAGAGCTGCAGCTGAAGTTTCTCCAAAAGTTACTGATGGAAGAGCCAGTGTTACTGCTGCTCCAGAGACTACTGGTTTCTCAGGTTGAAGTGAGACATTTGTTACTGAATTTGGTACCGATGTCACAAGTGGTTTTGAAGTCTGAAGCAAAACAGTTCCAGATGTTGTTCCTCCTGGTACAGAAGCTGGACCCACAGAATGTAGTGTCACAACTCCAGTTTTTGCACCCCCTGGACCAGCAAGTGGATTCAGAGCTTGCACAGATACAGTTCTAGGTGTTGTTGTTCCAGAAACAATGATGGGCTTTTCAGACTGGGCTGAAGAAACTGTAGTTGTTGCCACAGGAGGTGTTGCTGTTGAGGTACAGGTGGTAATAACCACCTCACCAGAAGTCTGCTGAACACACTGCTGAATGAAGCTCTGGGAATTAGGTAGAAGTTGTCGTAAGGCAGTAACACTTTTCTGGAAACATGAAGAAAAAGAAGTAAATATTGAAAATAAGTTACAAGTAAAAACACTTCTCTCTCATCTTCATAACATAAAGCAAATCAAAACTACATCAAGTGTTTCAGTTGAGAAAACCTATTTTATCCAATCAGTATAAGATACAATTTAAAACCCAAAAGTGATTTTTCAATGTGAAATTATCATTTTTAGTATAAAACTTATTTTGGATATCTCAATTACCAACTTGGTAAAATAAAACACTATCCATAATCAGTGTAACTCCACATCACGTACAACCACAAGAAAGGGAAGTTATACTCCATGTATGTATAATATGTAAAATTACATTCTACTGTCATGTATAACTAAAAAGAACAAATTTAAAAAAAACACTATCATATTTCTCTGTATTCTATTCATCTAAACTCTTTAAAAGATCATTGCTGACTTTAGTAGCCATAAATTTACAATGCAGCAGAATTTCTTGTAAAATAACTTAAAAACTTTGGATAGAAATTGTCTTTACATTGAAATAGAGCTAATACAAACAAATGGATTTTTACAATCTAAAACAATTTTCTTAATTGAGTTATTAGCACATTTTCTGACTAAATTTTGAGTCAAGTGTTTATCTTTGTATCTTTTACTAAAAGAACAAAGACAATTCAAGTGATAAACTGTAGATTTTGCCTTTTCACTCCTGGGATTTTTGTTTGTAAAAATGAAAAAAAATATATGAAAATACAAAAATGGTAGGTTATCTTCATGAGCTGTTTGGTAAGATTTCCTTATTGTGAAACTTAAAATTCAGTCACATTGCTTATTAAGAGTTAGAAACAATGGAAATACTCAAAGAATAAAATTTTTTTAAAAAATAAACCAGGCAGAGTGGTGCATGCCTGGAATCCCAGCAACTTGAGAGTCTGAGGAAGGAGGATTGCAACTCTGAGGCCAGGCTCAGCAACTTAGCAAGACCCTGTCTCAAAGTAGAAAATAAAAAAGGGCTGGGGATGTAGTTCAGTGGTTATGTGCCCCTGGATTTAATCCCCAGTATCAAAAATAAATAAATAAAAAATAAATAAAAGCAAAAGCACAATTTATACACACACACACACACACACACACACACAGATAGATAGATAGAGATAGAGATAGATAGATAGTAACTAAGAAAAGCAGAAAACCCTTCAAAAACTTTTTTCCAAAATATGAAAATGGCAGAAAACAAACAGCTGGAAATACATGGAAAAATGATTTAAGTAAGTTTAAACTGGGACTCTAACAGGAGATTCTCAGAAAACTATAATTGGAAAGAAATATTCAATAATAAGAGAGAGAATGCAAATGAATATTTGAATTAATTATCTTTTCATTACCCGGCCAGAGTTAAACTAAAATGTTAATTCCTTCATCCCTATGTCATACCCAACCCCCAAAAGCTCTCAGGGATGGGGGCAGGGAAATTCTCTCAAGAAAAGAGTCTAAGAAAGATCCTTAAAAAAAAAAAATGGATACAGGGCTGGGGACATGGCTCAAGCGGTAGCGCGCTCGCCTGGCATGCGTGCGGCCCGGGTTCGATCCTCAGCACCACATACAAAGATGTTGTGTCCGCCGAAAACTAAAAAAAATAAATATTAAAAAAATTCTCTCTCTCTCTCTTTAAAAGAAATGGATACAAAATGCAAATCCTTCATAGTAATATTTGTAATTTACAGGTAATGTTATCTAGCAACAGGTTAAACAGCCTAAATTCTAGACCTGTAAGTTTGATTTTAAAAAATAATGTTAGTAGATTTAAATGGTCCTCTCTAAAATGGAAGCTACTACTTAGCTCCAAAATTATATGTAAAGGATCTAGCAGAGCATCTGTTATGGTTTAGATTTTTTTTTTCTTTGAGGGGGGTGGATTTACTCACGATTGAACCCAGGCACACCCACTAAGCCACATCCCCAGTCCTTTCAAATTTTTATTTTGAAACAGAGTCTTGCTTAAATTGCTGAAGCTGGCATCAGACTTGCAATCCTCCTGCCTCAGCCTCCCAAGTTGCTGGAATTATAGGTAGATGCCACCACGCCTGGCTGCTTGGGATGTTAAATGTCCTTGAAAGACCCATGTGTTAAAGACCTGATCCCCAGTCCCAGCATGTTGCTACTGAGAGACGGCAGAAATTTTAAGAGGCTACTCTTTGGGTTATTTGAACCATGCCTTCAAAGTGGACTGTGGGGCTTAGTCTTTTCTTCTTTCTTCCTTTCATCACCAAGCCATGAGGTTAGCAGTTTCACTCTGCCATGTACTCCTGACACTGTACTGCCTCACAGAGGGCCAAAGCAATGGGACCAGCTGATCATGGACTGGAACTGTGTGACAAAATGTTTCTCTTTAAAAGTCTAAACATCTCAGGTATATGTTATGGTAATCGATAGCTAACTAACAACATCTGCTACATAAATTTTCCTCCTTCTCCTTCACAGTATAAACAATAAGTACAAAACACACATATACTCAAAGAGAGTGAGTCATCATTATGAAATGCAGTACCTAGAGCTGAAGACCTTTCCAATGAAAGGGATTCAGGAAGAAATGCCTCTAATTTCTCAATCAAGTGGACAAATGGGTCATACAGAAAAGAGTATGAATCATTTCACAAATAGCTCATCATCTTTTTAGGCAAATTTATCCAATCCTAGTTATGGATTCTAGAAGTGTAAAGGACAAATCTCTTTCATATATATGTGCTTAAAATATATAATGATCCTTTGACTTCATTTCCCCAGATCAAGTCTTCTCTGGCTAATACATTCTCAGTCTCTTTATTTACACTTCATATCACATGACTTATCCTAATCAATTTAGCTACCTACTCAGAAATACTTTCTGGTGTTAAAACATCTTATGAAAATGGGATGCTTACATCTTCCTTTCCACTCTTCTTTCATGAAGCAACAAAAGGAATTTTTAAAGCCTCCTACATCTCCCCTAGACAACTAACCCAAAAATTTCAAAAGGCAACTCCTCATTCTATTATGTCAAAATTTATGGGATGAGTTAGGCATGGTGGTGTACACCTGTCATCTCAGCAACCTGGGAGGCTAAGGCAGAAGGATCAGAAGCTCAAGGTCACCTTTACAATTTGGTGAGACCCTAAACAACTTAGCAAGATCTGGTTTCAAAATAAAATATTAAAAGGCCAGGTGCAGTGGCACTACAAGCCTGTAATCCTAGTGGCTCAGGAGGCTGAGGCAGAGGACAATCATGAATTCAAAGCCAGTCTCAGCAACTTAGTGAGGCCCTAAACAATTCAAGAGACCCTGTCACTAAATAAAATATTATAAAGGGCTGGGGATGTGGCTCAGTAGTAAAACATCCCTTGATTCAATAACCCCACCCCCACCCAAAAAAAACATGGCTTTTTGGTTCATTACAGCCCAGACTCTTTAATGACTTTATAGATTTCAATTTAATTCCTTTTTAACTTCTGAGAATATAAATGGAATATTTTTAAGTCTGCAAAAATAAGCTCCTATTATCCAAGCTACTGCAATCCAGATTCTATATACTTCAATAAATCATAGGTTATGCCTAACAATATAAATTAATTTTTTAAATTATAATTTTCCCACCAAATTTGGCACTATTATGGTTTATCATTCTAAGAGAACATGAAATTAGGACAAATTAGAAAACCCTATTTTCTCACAATCACAAGAATTTGAATGTATTCCTGTACAATTGTTAAACAATATAACATTATATTCACGAATGAGATATTACTCCTGTTTTCTCAAAATGTTCAAATGAAAACAATACTATGACTGAGCCTTACAGTTTACAAAAGTATTAAAGTTCCTTCTCACACTGTTATATCTTCACACTGAATTACTGTCATGTTGAATATTCAGGCTTCAAATTATTTTAAAGAAATCTAATCCATATAATTTCTTCAAAGAATGTGACTCTACCTTAAGAAAAGGAACTAGATGAGGCTGAGGTGAAGACTTCAGTTCAACGTACAATTTCCTTGTAAATTCTTCTGCTTCAATTTTTGCATCCTAAAGAATGGGAGAAAGAAAACACATAGGTCTACAAATTTTCAGAAGAGGCAAAGCTAGGGATGGTGATGCACAACTGTAGTCCCAGTTAAAATCATAAGGGTAAAGAAGGAGGATCACTTGAGCGCAAGAGTTTGAGGTCAGCCTGGACAGCATAGGAAGACCCTGTCTTTTAAAGAAAAATTTAATTTAATTTAAAGATAAAAGAAGCAAACTCTGGGGGTATAGCTCAGTGCTTGGTTGCATGCATGAGTCCCTAGGATTGATCCTCAGCACTGCACAATTAAATAAAGAAAGAAGGCAAAGATTTGAAGCTTTTCACAAGTCCATCATTACATGGGAGCATTTTTTTCATTCACCAGAGAAATTAGTAAACCTAAATAATAGAAATGTATATTGAAAGAGAATACATTGAAGGAATGATCTTTCTTCTTGTGGGGGTGGAGGACATTCCAGTAAAAAAAAAAAAAAAGTGAGAGAAGAGCTACATTATTACATCTTTCAAGAACAATTAAGAAGTAAAGACACAGGAGTTTCTTAGGATAGAAAGAAGAAGTTATCTGGAGGACTTTGAAGTTTTTGTTTTGTTTCTATAATTATTAATTATCTTAAGCTAAGATTATATTTTTAGAGTAATACTGAGTCCATAATAGCTGTCCCAAAGAACTTAGGAATGTTTACTTATTATTTTATATTCTAAGCACTTCAGGGATCTGTAAAGTTTAAAATATTTTTCATTAATACTAATCTTTTTTGCATTTTTCACTGTTGAAATATACCCTAAAGCTGTAAAAACAAGAACACGTAAAACTAATGGAAAGAAGCAGTAGCAAAGTGAAATAGTTGTCATCATACTCTACACTGCTGTGCATTTATAGTTATGAAAAAAAATTATATGTTAGCTTTACTTTAAAACATTCTCTTTTTTTTTTTTTTTTGGTGGTGGTGGTGGGGGGTGCAGGTACCAGAGACTGAACTCAGGGGCACTCAACCACTGAACCACAGCCCCAGCCCTATTTTGTATTTTATTTATTTAGAGACAGGGTTCTCACTGAATTGCTTAGCGCCTCGCTAAATTGCTGGGGCTGGCTTTGAACTCCCAATCCTCCTATCTCAGCCTCCAGAGCCGCTGGGATTACAGGCATGTACCACCGCCCCCAGCTAAAACATTCTTGATGTAGTAAAAATTAGTATTATTAAATCTCAACTCTTCAGTAGACAGACATCTTTTTAATATTGTAGATAACAAAGTGGAGGCCACACATAAAGGACTTCTACTGCAGGCCAAAGAAAGATGCTCACAGAAAAGTAGTTTATGATTGAATTACTAGCTAAATTAGCAGCTTTTTTTCCATTTTTTGCTAGAAAGAATTATAAAACAACTGTGGTTATTCAGACTTGGATATTTAGAAAATACTTTCTCAAAAACAAATAAAACAAACTCCATTTCTATGAAGAAAGCAACTGATAGTATTTATTGTTAATGATAAAAATTAAAGCTCCCAAGACAAAATAATAATTTGTTTGTTCGTTCAGTACTGGGGATTGAACCCAGAGATATTTACCCACTGAGCCAAATCCCTAGCCCTTTTTTTAAAAAAAAAATATTTTTTTGAATTTTAATATTTATTTTTTTTTTTTAGTTTTCGGCAGACACACATCTTTCTTTGTATGTGGTGCTGAGGATCAAACCCAGGCCGCGTGCATGCCAGACGAGCGCACTACCGCTTGAGCCACATCCCCAGCCCCTTAAAAAAAAAAAAAAAAAATTTGTTTTTTAGTTTTTGGTGGACACAATATATTTATTTTATTCTTATGTGGTGCTGAGGATCAAACCCAGTGCCTCATGTATGCTGGGCAAGTGTTCTACCACTAAGCCACAACTCCAGTCCCAACTCCAGTCCCATCTCCAGCCCTTTTTTTTATATTTTGTTTAAAAACAGGGTCTTGTTCAGTTGCTTAGGGCCTCACTAAGTTGCAGAGGCTGGCTTTGAACTATGTTCCTCCTGCCTCAGCCTCCCCAGCCACTGGGATTACAGGCATACACCACCACCCATGGCATAAATTTGGAAAAATATATAATGACTTCTCCTAACCTGATAGCTTTCCAGAACTTTAAAAAAAAAAAAAAAAAAAAAACTCTTGACAAGATCATTTGGGAAATTAATGAACATGATATTTGGTATCTTAAATAAAGTATGTGAAAACATTTGGAAGATCTGTATAACATAACTCAATTAGTCAACATTTTCCAAATGACCAATGCATACTATTACAAAAACCACACAAAAACCAGTCACTCTCCTAATACTCAACAAAATAACACATCACAAAGTAAAGTAAATGTAGAAGCAGGCCTGAGAATCCAACTTCCTATTATTTAAGTCAGACATTAAAAATATTTACAAAATGCAAAGCAATGTCATTTTTCTCAATTTTGTTTTGAAAACTACAGCTTTTATTTAAATGTTATTTATGTGAATATATATAAAGGGTTTATTATTATTTTAAAATAAATATAATTTTAAAACCTTTCTGTTTTAATTTCAGGTCCACAAAAAATAAAATCCCTTGAGGAGTCCCCAGTTTTTAAAAATATACAGGCATCCTGCCAGGTACAGTGACACATACCTATAATCCCAGCAACTTGGGAGGCTGAGAAAGGAGGATATCAAGTTCAATACCAGCCTCAGCCACTTGGTAAGGCTGTAAAAACCTTATTGAGGGCTGGGGCTGTAGCTCAGTGGCACAGCATTTGCCTAGCATGTGTGAGGCACTAGGTTTGATTCTCAGCATCACATAAAAATAAATAAAGGCATGCTATCTACAACTATATTAAAAAAATAAAAAATTTTATTGAGACCCTGTCTCTTGGGCTAGGGATATAGCTCAGTTGAGCGTGCTTGCCTTGCATGCACAAAGTCCTGGGTTCAATCCCTAGAACACACGCACACACACACACACACACAAAAAAAAAAAACACGGAGACCCTGTCTCAAAAAAATTAAAAGGGTTAGGGATGTGGCTTACTAGCAAAAAAGTGTCTAAGTTCAATCCCTAGTACCTGCATGCCCCCAAAAAAGAATATACAGCTATGCTGAGGCCCAAATGTTTGAGAACTATTTATCTTAAGTTAGAAAGAATATTTGCTTAATTCCTAACTATTGTTATCTGTCCACAAAATTCACACAAATCTTTTGCATTTAGAAACATTAAAATGTTTTATGGGATCTATGTTCTTTTTCATTACAACTCTCCATCTAGGACATTTCATTTCTGAGGAACAAGTCATATTTACTTTCAAAACTAAAATACTTTGAAAAGGAAAAAGCAAAAACCCAATGTTTACTTTTCAAAATGTACTCAAAATCATCCAAAGTATAAAATTGTTCATATGACTTAAATTTCTAAATATATAAAATTAAAATACTTTCCCAACTGAAAAACTAACTTTAAATATGCTCTATTTTTAATGCCTGATAGGAAGCATTTTTAAAAGTCATAAAGAAGACATCTGAATAAACTATGCTTGTTTTCATGGACAATATTTGAAAAAAACATATACTGGGAAAAAGTGACCACATTTATATAACAAATACACAAAAATATTAATTATTTGATCATAAAAAACTGTAAATTATGAACAGTTTAGAAATCCAAAATAGGGGGCTGAGGTTGTGGCTCAGCAGTGTAGCACTCACCTAGCACATTCGAGGACTTGGTTTCAATCCTCAGCCCCACATAAAAATAAATAAAATAAAGGTATTGTATCCAACTGAAACTAAAAAATAGATATTAAAAAAAGAAATCCAAAATAATGTTTACCTATTATATTCCCAGTATATGTCTTAAGCACAAATGAAATATATGATAATTTCTACTCCATCCTATATTATACGGAGTATTTTACCTGAAAGAGGATATAAAAGATCAAAAATGTATAATATGGTGGCTAAAAGATACTTGGCACTTGTAGAAACCTCAGAAATGATCACATTTACTCTTCTCATCTTACAAGGAAACTAAGGCCTAAAAATGTTAATTAACTTCCACAAGTCCTACAGCTTGGTGTTTGGAAGTATGAGAAATTAATTTCATCATTTATTGATAGCTGGCTTTCTGGCACTCTGCAATTCTAGTGACATTTTCCATGGTTGCTTTGGTAGCACATATACTAAAACTGAAATGATAAAGAAATTAGCAATAATATCAAGAACTATGTAATGTTTTGAACAACCAACAATAAAAAATTAAAAAAAAAAAAAAGACTCTTCAGGTATTTTCATAACGTTTGCTAATTGAAGTTTCATTTAGGAAAGAATCTGATAAACCCAATTTCATTATGGCCTAAATGACTTATAAAATTTAGAGTCATTCATTTGAACAATGTAAACATTTTTAAAGGGAATAAAAACCTGAAGCAAAAAAAAAGAAATTAGCAATAGTCCCCACACAAGGATGACATGCAAGTTAGTGAAGCATTCTATATTATAAAAAAAGTTTTTTTTTTCCCTAATGAACCAAAGAGTCAACCTCTCCAAGGCCTTTTTTTTTTTTTAAGAGAAGGGAAACTAGGCTGGTATAGACAAAATAATACGTATCAAAATATCATGTTATATATGCATCTTATATATGCAAAAAAAAAAAAAAGCAGTATTAAGAAAAGGAATGCAACTGGCAGAGTTGTCCCAAGCCTGTAATCCCGGGGCTCAGGAGGCAGAGGCAGGAGGATTGCAAGTTCAAAGCCAGTCTCAGCATTACAGTGAGGCCCTAAGCAACTTAGATCCCATCTCAAAAAACTTTTAGGAAGGGCTGGGGATTTGTCTAAATTTTATCATCATTACAAAGCTTTTAAGAAGTAAAACCAGCCCCTCCCATTCTCTTTCTCCATCTTTCCTTGCCACCAGGTAGTGTGCATGAATGTACAGACCCATGCTCTCAAGAGCATCAACAATGCCAAAAAGAGAGATGAACACCAGGTCCTAATTAGGCCATGCTCCAAAGTTACTGTCCAGTTTCTAACTGTGATGATGAAGTATGCTTACACTGGTGAATCTGAAATCACTGATGATCACAGATCTCAGAAAATTGTTGTGAATCCCAAAGGCAGGTTAAACCAGTGTGGAGTGATCAGCCCCAGATCTGATGTACAGCTCAAAGACCTAGAAAAATGGCAGAATAATCTGCTCCCATTCTGTCAGTGTAGTTTCATTCTACTGACAACCTCAGCTGGCATCATGGACTATGAAGTATCAAGACAAAAACTTTTTCACACATGGGGCTGGGGCTGTAGCTCAGTGGTAAAGTGATTACCTAGTACATATGAAGCACTGGGTTTGATCTTCATCACCACAAAAAAATTTTTAAAGATAAAGAATTTGTTTAAAAAAAATTTTTTTTTCACACTGTAGGGAAAATCCTGGGATACTTTTTCTAGGGATATAAAACAAATACAAATAAAATGCCTCAATGGACTCAGCTTCTTAAAAAAAATAAGAAGAAGATGCAAAACCAACGTTTATCAAGAAGTACCTTTAAAATAACATCATTAAAAATATAGAGAGGGCTGGGGTTGTAGCTCATTGGTAGAGTGCTCTCCTTGCATGTGGAGGGCACTAGGTTCAATCCTCAGTACCACATGAAAATAAAATAAAGGTATTGTGTCCATCTACAACTAAAAAATATTTTTAAAAATATATAGAGAGGGCTGGGATTGTGGCTCAGTCGGTAGAGTGCTTGCCTCGAATGTGTGAAGCACTGGGTTCAATCCTCAGCACCACATAAAAATAAGTAAATAAATAGAAGTATTGTGTCCATCTACAACTAAGAAAATATTTTAAAATATAGATAGATAAATAAATAGAAAGATACTTCCAATTTTCAACAGATAAACCTTGCAAGATTTTATAGTACTAACTTACCAAAAGTTGTTCTACCAGCTTCTTCACATTCTGCCCCATTTCTGGAGACTGTGATCCACTGCATGCTAGTTTTATTAACATTGCCAGGAAGTTCTTACATTTCTTCACGTTTTCTAGCATTGTCTACATATGGAAAAATAATCACAATTGTTAGCTAGCAAAGAAGAATCAAGAACAATGGTAAGGAACTGCATTAATGCAAGGTGCAAGTGAGAGCTCACCGGAGAAAGATCAGTCTGAGCAGCTGCTGAATTCTCTGCTTTCAGATTAGGTTCATTTGAAGGGGTAGGTGATGATCCCACACTTGAAGTCTTCAAGGTAGATACAGTACTTGCCGGCTTTACAGGAGTAACTGTGACAACATTGGTTGGCACAGCCACAGACTGAAATTAAATTAGAAATGCATTACTATGATACCTAAGTGGGCATCTCATTTCACCCTTATCAGTCTACAAATGAATCTTGACATCTTTGCTTTTATGTGATGCTCTAATAGTCTACGGCAATGTAATGATATTAGAAGAGCTCTTAATTCTACCAGATCTGGGTTACATTCTCATCTACCTTCCAACTCTTCATTGCCACCTACTGCAATATTAAGTATAGGCAAGTTATTCTCCTAATCCTGATTACTATTTGAAAAAAAAAAAAAGATAATAATGGTACTTACTCTTCTAGGGTTGTCTGGAAAATAATACAATACAAGCCCTTAAAAATATTATTAATGCTTCTTCCAAAGTATATGAAAAAACAAGTCTTTATATGAAAACAAAGAATTTCCTGTCCTGCTATTTTCTTTTTCTTAAGTATAAAGCAGAGTGATCTACTGATTATCTTATATTCAGATATGCTGTTTTTATATAGACATTAAGCATAAAAATATTACAAAATGTGATATTATTTTCACACTGAAAAGAATTTATTTTTTCTACACTATATCAGAATGAAGTGTGACTCTAGCACCACCTTCAGGACAAAAATTTTACTATAAGAAATCATGAGCTGGGTAAGAACACATTGAAATAAAGCAACAGTTTTATTTTTAAAACAAACACTAAAAGTTACATGTTGTAAGAAAAGTTTGAGGGGCAGAGGGGAAAGAATAGAATTCATAATTCACACATAAAACTAAATATTGCATCATCATTTTAATCTAAATGCTTGTGTTCTACAGGCATACAACACAGAAAGGTCAGGTTGCTATTATCCTCTACAAAATTTCTTTCTATGATAGTCAAGGTAGCTCAATCTGAGTGACACCAAAATTTTCCATTTGGGAAAGAGCGGCACATATATCAGACAAGAATGTTTTGAAGGTAAAAAATGAGAAAGAAATTTAAAAGTGCTGATCAATGATGAGGACTAGAACTAATGATGTAATGGTAAAAAGAGATAAAAATTAAAATTACAAGTAAATTAGTAAAATTTTATTAAACATCAGAGAAATCCTCACAGGCAACATCAAAATGATGTTGATCTTATTCATACCCTTAATTCTGCACTCCAGGGACAAATACTGTGCAGATTCTTCTAGAAATTTTCTAATTAACATTTAGGTTTATAGACAGTAAATAAGATTATTTCTTCAGAGTCTACCTTATAATCAGGCACAAACTCTCTATAATACTATATTTAAGAAATTGTCACTAGTATCACAAAAATACAAAAGTGTAATCTGGAATTCTAGCTACTGATTGTGATGGCTTTTGATGACTGATGGGAAGGGTATCTCCGGGAATTACTGTCCCTCTACCTTATGAAGCAAAATGAGGTCCAATGAAATGTGAGTTCAGGAAAAGTATCCTACTGTTTGTGAGTAGTAGACTTACTTAAGGCATTTTACTTTCCTTGTCAATAATTCATCCTTTCTCTAAGCTATAGTTCCTAAAGGGCCCACATGTTAAAAACTTGGTCCCTAACCCATGGTGCTATAGGGAGATGGTAGAATCTTTGGGAGGTAGAACCTAGTGGGAGGACTTCCAGCCACTGGGAGTGTGCCCTTGAAGGGAATACTGAGGCACAGCTCCTTCTTCCTCTTTTTTGCTTCCTTGCCATTAGGTGAACGGGCCTCCACTCATGTTCCTGCCATAATATACTGCACAATCAGTCATGGACTGAAACCCCCAAAACTGTGAGTCAAAATAAATCTTTCTTCTTTTTAAATTGATTTATCATAGTAATTTGTTACAATAATGTAAAGCTGACTAGCACATTCCAGCACAAATCTGTCCTTAATGATCCTTTCTAATATAGGTACTACCTGTACCTTAAAGGATACATGTACCTTCCATGCCAATCTCATGTATTAAGGGACACAGTGAAGTATAAAATCCTGGTCTTCTCATCACAGTATTGGACAGCTGTTCTTAAACTCAATCATAATTCTACCTTAGACTCAATATTCTACCAGCCAAGGATATTTCCATTCTTTGCAAGACTGGATTACACTGATTAGGCATGTCTTGGGTACAAAAGAGAAAAAAATAAAATATGTGAATAGAATTTTTGTGAAAAGAATCTGTGTGAAAATCAGTTACACATAGAGCTAGTAAAATGAACTATATTCAAATTTAGCAGACCAAATTACATTTCAAGAAGGGTCATTTTTTGTACCTATGTGAGGTTGTTCATATTGAATTAGAAATTCTAATTTTAAATCAAATTATTTGCACATTGACATTCTAATCTGACAATTAGCCAGTATATCTTCATCTTTAATATAACATACAACTGAACATTAAAGGACGGGTGCATATAACTGTAGCGCCTCAGAAGGCTGAGGCAGGAGGATCTAGAGTTCAAAGCCAACCTCAGCAACTTAGAGAAGCCCCATCTCAAAATAAAAAAATAAAAAGGGCTGAGGATATGGCTCAGTGGTTAAGTAACTCTGAGTTCAATCCCCACATCCCAAAAAAAAAAAAAAAGAACACTAAAGATTTCAAATTATTTTGTGTGTTATATTTACTATAGTGGAACATTTTTAACAATGTCTATCTAGGGAGAAAGCTCCTGATAAAACGATGTTTGTGCTGCAACTACTGATGGATCCCCAGTTCACTAATGAATTACTCCCTAAAGGTAAGGCAGAAGACTGAGGAGACCTTGTCAGAGAGACTCTGGGATCTGACAGAGATGTTCCCTAAGAGGATATGGTCCACAGTGAAAGCCACTTTTGATCTTTCCCTCTTTGTGTCTCAAAAAAAATGTACAGGTTTTCCAGGGAAGCCTTGCAGACTGGGACCACTTTCTTTATGATCCTGGTTCTTCCTGTTGTATTCAAGACTAAGACACTGCAAATGGAGCAAGAGCAGCAATGGCAGTAGCAGCAGATACACTTAGGGCTGAACACAAGGCTGTCCGTAGGAAGGTGAGGAGCTATACGTATACTTCCTTTCCTGGAAAGAGCAGATTATTACTGCTATAGTTGACCTGTCTTTGAAAGAAATGTAAAATTCAATTATGTTTGGACTGCTGATTACTTAGTAAGGCTTTTGTTTCTTTTTTTAACTTTGGCACACTGATCTAAACCTGGTAGGAAGGATTCTAACCTAATGGTCTCATGAAGAGACTCCCAATTTGCATGCTGTCCTATTTTTTCTTGTCCTCATTCTGATACCAGAGAACAACTGTGCAGATGGTTATTCCAGCCCTGGCTACCCTACCCTTTCCAGTAAATTGCTCCGAACTAGAAGATCTCCTCACTACCCCACTATAGGGTAGAAACTCATGCCCCGTAATGGGAGGGAAGGATTCCTGACCATTAATGACTTTTTTTCCCTTATAAACAATGGAGATTTGGGGGCTGGGATTGTGGCTCAGTAGTAAAGTGCTTGGCTAGCACACATGAGGCTCTGGGTTTGATCCTCAGCACCACATAAAAATAAACTAAAGGTTTTTGTGTACACCTACAACTAAAATTAAAAAAAAAAAAGAAAGAAAGAAACGGAGGGGCTGGGGTTGTGGCTCAGAGGTAGAGCGCTCATCTGGCACATGCGAGGCCCTGGGTTCGATCCTCAGCACCACATAAAAATAAATAAATAAAATAAAGGTATTGTGTCCATCTACATCTAAAAAATAAATATTAAAAAAAAAGAATAGAGAGATTTGTTGGGGAGGGACATGCACATAATATAAAAATGACAAAGTGCATTACATCTGTAGTGTAAAGAACCAAGATTTTCAATGTATACTGGAGAAAGGGGAGGCTGATGGCAACTTCAGCCACAAAATGGGGACAATGAGGATTATGAAGAACAAAGCAGGGGCTTATTTCCTCTATACATTTTGGCTATTAGACCTATGTGTAAAAGCAGGGGGGATTCACTTTGTATTTGAATATTAAAATTTATTCCAACTTAAGAAAAAAAAAAGTATAATTTTGGCTCCCATCCTTTACCTCTTCCCTTATTTTCCTTCCTTTCTCCTCTCCACCCATGCTCTCTTGCCACCAGATCCCTTCTGCCACGGGACTAGGCCCTTCCCAGATGCTGACATCATGCTTAGACTTCCCAAACTCCAAAACTATGTGTCAAACTTTTGTTCATTATAAATTATTCAGTCCGTGGCATTCTGTTATAGCAGCAAAAAACAAACTCAAACAGAAACAAAGACAAATATTGGGATGAATCCGCACAGATTCCTCAAGGATGAGAGTCTGTCCATGCTACCAGGTAACTACCAAGACCAGCATAGTTGGCAGTTAAGAGTGAGGATAATCTAAAATAGAGGGAGAGAGAGATTATTACTATCATCTGCAGCCTAAGACCCACTGAAGCAGTGGGACTATAGTTCATCCCATTAACCTATCTTCTTTGTTTCCTCAAGGAAGTAACCCAGTAGAATCCCAGAACCATTGGTCTGAGGTGTATACCTGTCTAGTTCTCCACTTGGAAATACATCCAAATGAGGTAACAAGTAGACTAGGATGAATCATCACAAGGAAACACTGGTATTGTTCTAGCTGCTGGGGGAATGTAACTGGACAGCTTCCACCTGACAGGTCCATTAGGTTTCCCTCTGATACAGAGAATCACCTTGTTCAAAAGTACAATGTTTAGTGAGTCCACATCCAATGACTAATCCCAGAGCAGGAAGTAAGGCCCAGCCAACCATGTTGGCCCACAGTGGAACAATACTGATAAGCAGCATTAGCTCCAAAGTTCTCCACCAGGTTGACTCAGGTTTCCCCGGGTCTACATCTAGTTTATACTCACTCTCTCCTTCCCCTTCACAAGTATTGATCCCTAATAAATATCTCAAACACCAAATTCTCTAAGCACCTGCTTCTAGAGACTATGATATAAGGCTACTAGGTGAATTTGTATTAATACATTTAGTAAAAATGTATCCAAAAATACATTTTGTTGTTTCCTATACCTCTAACAGTCCCCAGTTTGATAAGTGTCAGCTTTATTAATGAATTGCCCTCTTTGATGTCACAGAATCAACAACTTACACATATGACAGGAACTAGTGAAATAATAAAGATGAGAGAATGACATGACCACACATAATTCACAACTTACTTGTACTGAGGAAGGGTTCGAACCAGTGGTTGCCACAGTAGTTCCTATCTGAGCCAACTTTTTAACAGGTGTCACAGCCACTTTCTTGATTAATTGTGAGCTAGAATTCTTGGGGGTGAGGAACAAGATAACACAAAGCCATCAGTATAAGTAATTTAAAATCAATCAAATTATGAAGAACATTAGAACACTTTACCATAGCAAATTTGTTATAACTGGATTTATAACCTTATGGTTTTATACACATTCTATACTGTAACCTTACTGATCAGCCAGGCATGGTAGCACATGCTTGTAATCCCAGAAACTCAGGGGGCTGAGGCAGGAGGATGGAAAGTTCAAGGTCAGTCTCAGTAACTCAGCCAGGCCCTAATCAACTTAGTGAGACCGTGTCTCAAAATAATATATAAAAAAGGGCTGGGGATGTAGCTCAGCAGTAAAGTACAGAGTATGGTTCAATCCATAGTACATCCCCCCAAAAAAGATTCTGTCACACCAGATAGGCTTCAGTTATATAGAAAGATTACCAAGTACTTAAAATAAATCATTTCCTAATAATGCAAAACTAATGAAATATGGTAGCAGACTTCTATATTTTTAACAATAATTTCTGTAAGGTATGAATAAAAATGAATACTACAAATATTCATTTATACACTATTTCACCACAAATTAAAACTGAAGCAGATGGTTATTTTCTTTCAAGATGCAAAATGCCCTTTGAACATATCCTTTGAGGACTATAAAATCTTTTGAGTACGAAGATTAAATGTTCATTATTTTAACAGTTATCAAATGACAAAACCCAAAAAATCTTGATTAAATTAGCATATCGAAAGAAAGGTGTTTAATTTAAAAAGTTGAGCAGAATCATCTCAAATTATGTTTACTGGCAAAGATAACAGGTGGGAAATGAGGAAGCTTAAGATATATTACAGGGGAGGGGCTGGGGTTGTGGCTCAGTGGTACAGCACTTGCGTAGTATGTGTGAGGCACTAGTAGGTTCAATCCTCAGTATCACATAAAAATAAATAAATAAAAAATAAAGGTATTATGTCCATCTACAACTAAATAAATTTTTAAAAAGATGTATTACCGGCATTGTACAGATTTTGACTGTTTGAGCATTTGTTGGTGCTGCTGGCCTTGCAGCTATGTTACTTGTGGTCTCAGCTCTTGTAATGGCTTGCTGAGGAGATACCAACATCAACTGACCACTGTTACTTTTGATCAAAACTGTTCCTATAGTTAAAAAAAAAAAAAAAACCTCAGTTAAAAAATAAAATAAAACATAACTATCACATATTGTCTTTTCCTATTTTAACACTATAAAAAGCTCTGAATAAGTACTTGGTATATAATAAATTCCATATCCACTAATTATCCAACAAAAAAATGATAAAATGTTTTCATTCAAGTTATTTAAAACATTTAAAATCTAAACATTTGACAAAGATACTCCTGAAGAAGACAAAATACTTTTCTTTGATATCAAAACTATAAAGCTATAGTAAATAAGATGGTATGATAACAGCACAAGACCACAAAGCTGACTAAAGAAACAGAATAGAAAACCCCAAAATAGGTGTATAAGGATATGTCATACAGGTTGAGTATCTCTTACCCAAAATGCTCAGGACCAGAAGTACTTCAGATTTTCTAACTTTTTTAGATTTTGGAATATTTGCATAGACTTAACCAGCTAAACATCTCTTTCCTGAAAATCCAAAAATCCAATATGCTCCAAAATCCAAAACTTTTTGAACACTAATATGAGACTCAAAGTTCAGATTTTATATCAGAGGCTCAACCTGAATAATATTTTCCCATGAGACTGTACACTCTTGAGAACAGAAGTAACTATTCAATATGTGGCCAATTAGTTGTCTTATGGGAAAGATGAAATTGGACACCTATTTCACACACATTCACTAAAGCCCTAGCACATTAAGGAATATAAAGGTAAAAATAAACAATTTAACTCTTAGACAATGTGGAAAAATATCTTTTAATTTGAGATAGGGAAAGACTTCTTAAATAAGTAGAGCTTAACACATTTAATTATATTAAAAGAAATTCCAATTAGCAAAATTGGAAAAAAAAAAAAAGCATAAGACACAAATGGACATAGTGACACACACCTGTAATCCCAGACAAATTTGAGTGGCTGAGGCAGAAGGATCCCAAATCCCAGGTCAGTCTCCTCAATTTAGTGAGACCCTGTCTCAAAATTTAATAATTAAAAAGAGCTGAGGATGTAGCTCAGCAGTAGATCTCCCTTGCTTTTAATCCCAGTCCCACCAAAAAAAAAAAGATAAGACACAAAATGAAATACTGGGTGCAGAGGTGCAGATCCGCACTCTCAACAGCTCAGGAGGCTAAGGCAGAAGGATCATGAGTTCAAAGCAGCCTCAGCAACTTACAGAGGTCCTAAACAACTTAATGTGACCCTGTCTCAAAATAAGGGCTATAGACATGGCTCAGTAGCTAAGCACCTCTGGGTTCAATTCCTGCTACCCATAAAAAAAGACGATGACAACACAAAATAAAATATACTCAAAGGACACCTATTCAAAATGCACAAACAAATGCCAACAATAGGGAAAGTTAATTAAGACCCTGGTGAGATATCACTTTTTATCTATTTAGATAGGCAAAATTTCATTAGTCCAACAATACTAAGTGCTAGCGATACATATCAACAGGAACACTATCAATCTTATTTGGTGGTAGGATAATTTAGTACAATTACTTTGATCAACTTTATATGACTGCCAAATTGATTTTCATTTGTACATCCTATAATCCATTATTTCTAACCTAAAGAAATTCTTGTCTATAATACAAGTAACAATAAATATTGGCATACATTACCGGTAGGGCTGCAAATTGGTGTAACCACTCTGGAAAACAGTATGTAGATTCCTCAGAAAACCTGAATGAAACCACCATTTGACCCAGTTATCCCACTACTCAGTACATACTGAGTAGTACCCAAATGACTTAAAATCAGCATACTATAGTGATGCAACCACATCAATGTTTATTGCAGCTCAATTCATAATAGCTAAGCTATGGAACCAGCTTAGGGGCCTTTCAAATGGATAAAGAAAATGTAGTATAGATGGTGGAAGGGGACCTTCATCGTTATACAAAATACATGTATGAAGATATGAGAAAAAAAAAAGAATAGTGTTCCCTTAGATTAGGTAGAGAGAAGTGATGGGAGGGGAGGGGAGGGGAGGGGAGGGGAGGGGATGGGGGATAGGAAGGATAGTAGAATGAAATAGACATTATTATTACTGTGTGTATATATATGACTGCATAACCAATATGATTCTGCAACCTGTACACTCAGAAAAATGAGAAATTATATCCCATCTGATTCAAATGTATGATATGTTAAGGTCATTGTACTTCATGTGTAACTAATTAAAACAAAAAATTTTAACAAACGGGCCAAGGACCTGAACAGACACTTCTCAGAGAAGGATATACAATTAATCAACAAATACATGAACAAATGCTCACCATCTCTAGCAGTCAGAGAAATGAAAATTAAAACCACTCTAAGATACCATCTCACTCCAGTAAGAATGGCAGCCATTATGAAGTCAAACAACAACAAGTGCTGGCGAGGATGTGGGGAAAAGGATACACTTGTACATTGCTGGTGGGACTGCAAATTGGTTCAGTTTGGAAAGCAGTATGGAGATTCCTTGGAAAGCTGGGAATGGAACCACCATTTGACCCAGCTATTCCCCTTCTCGGACTATACCCAAAAGACCTAAAAAGAGCATACAACAGAGACACAGCTACATCAATGTTCATAGCAGCACAATTCACAATAGCTAGACTATGGAACCAAACCAGATGCCCTTCAATAGATGAATGGATAAAAAAAAATGTGGCATTTATACACAACGGAATATTACTCAGCACTAAAAAATAACAAAATCATGGCATTTTCAGGGAAATGGATGGCATTAGAGCAGATTATGCTAAGTGAAGCTAGCTAATCCCTAAAAAACAAATGCCGAATGTCTTCTTTGATATAAGGAGGGCAACTCAAAACAGAGCAGGGAGAAAGAGCATGAGAAGAAGATTACCATTAAACAGGGACGAGAGGTGGGAGGGAAAGGGAGAGAGAAGGGGAATTGCATGGAAATGGAAGGAGACCTGCACTGGTATACAAAATTACATAAGAGGAGGTGAGGGGAAAGGGAGAAAAAAAACAACAAGAGAGAGAAATGAATTACAGTAGATGGGGTAGAGAGAGAAAAAGGGAGAGGAGGGGAGGGAAGGGGGATAGTAGGGGATAGGAAAGGCAGCAAAATACAACAGACACTAGTATGGCAGTATGTAAAAACGTGGATGTGTAACCAATGGGAATCTGCAATCTGTACATGTGGTAAAAATGGGAGCTCATAACCCACTTGAATCAAATGTATGAAATATGATATGTCAAGAGCATTGTAATGTTTTGAACAATAATGTATATATATAAAAGAAAATGCAGTATAAATACACAATATAATATTACTCAGCCATAAAGAATGAAATTATGGTGTTTGCTAGATCTGGAGATTATCATGCTAAGTGAAATAAGCCAAACCCCCCCACCCCAAAGAAAAACAAAGGTCAAATGTTCTCTCTGATATGTGGATGCTAATACACAATAAGGGGGAAGGAACAGAAGTTCATTGGATTAGACAAAGGGGAATGAAGGAAACAGAGAAGGGATGGGAATAGGAAAGACAGTAGAATGAATTGGATATAACTTTCTTATATTCATATATTCTGCCACGCGACCAGCGCAAGTTTCATAAAAGAAGGTTCGATGCGTAAGAAATTGCTAGTGAGTTTTAAAAGAGACAGACTCTCATTTACCTTTAACCCCAGCTCCAAGATGGCTTCTCCTAGCTCCCGCCTCCAGCCACCTAATGCGGTGGTGAGGTTTACAGAAGAGACTAGTGAGAGAGGGAAAGCATGCCAGGGAGTTAGCTTTTATTGGGGAACAAAAAATTCAAGGGAAAATTCCATCCAATGAAGGTTAAGGGAGGCAGCATCCCAAGGTCAGGGCCGGTGATTGGGTCTTCAAGTCAGTGGCCAGGCACGCCTCTGCACAAACAAGCCCTGAGACCTGGGAAAGGGTGTGGGATGGCTTTAACACCGCTGTGTCTAAGCGCCTCTTACCCAGCCAGGGAGGTAACTCAAATCACGTGCGAGGATGGCCTCCCACAATATATGAATACAGGACCAGTGTGATTCCACATCATGTTCAACCACAAGAATGGGAAGTTATACTCCATGTATATATGTCAAATTCTTGTCCATGTTAATAGAGACTCAAACAAAACATTCAGAGCTGGAGTTCTACTTCCAAGTGTAGGGCCAAGTGTGATGGCACACGCCTGCAATCCCAGCGGCTCCGGAGGCCCAGCGGCTCCGCAGGCAGAGGCAGGAGGATCACCAGTTCAAAGCCAGCCTTAGCAACTGCAAGGCACTAAGCAACCAATGAGATCCTATCTCTAAATAAAATACAAAATAGGGCTGGGGATATGGCTAGGTGGTAGAGTGCCCCTAAATTCAATCCCCGGTACCCCCCACAAAGCACGCACGCGCACACGCGTGCGCACACACACACACACACAAAAAAGAGAAACAAGTATAACTGTTGAAAACTATTTAAAAACAACCATTTATAAACTTTGGAAATTTCCCTAAAGCATACAGAAAGTGACTACACAATTATTAAAGAAGATCTATCAAAAATTCAGCAAGAATATTAAGAATCTGTGGCATCTAATTATGATCCAAACCCATTCCCATTCTTAGCACAGAAACTCCACACTGTGTCAGTTTAGTCAAGAACACAAGCCTCCCTCTTGCCTAAGCTCCCAGTCAAAGGCCATGGAATCTTCCTGGGAAGAACAGACCCCAACATTTCCCATCCCCAACTACACAGTGAAGAAGATAAAGTTTAAGCCACACAAGAAGTGTGTGGCTCCCGGCTCCCTTCTTTGACCCATAAAAGAAGGCTCTACTTCAGGGATAGCATAATGAGAAATACTTGGGCACCCATGACCCTAACCCCAACCCTTTCAGGGTAGTTTCAGAAACCACCTGTGGGAGGGACTAGATGTCAGATTTAATGTACAAAGATTTCACAGTAATCATTATAAATATGTTCAAAGGACTAAAACCATACTTGGAGAAGGAATGTATGATGATATCTCAAA